TAAATGACTTTTTGGTGCTCGATATATTTGTCACGTAATGATCGAAACTTTTTTGGGTGGCGATTTTACCCCGGTCGAAAATGGTGAGCCCTAATTACTAGGAAAATGGGTAACATTGTAGATTCGGAACATATCATATGATCTGATTGCACAAACGCGTAAATCTACATGTTTTTTGTCACACTAAATTACAAATTTAAACACGCGTGCATTTAGCTGATATCATATGTTATGGTTCTCTTGATGTTGATGTCGACTAAATGAGATGTCGATGAATAATTGTCAGTGAAATGGCCTGAGCAAATGTCCCGAATTATATTCTTGTATAAAAAATTATATATGTACAATCGTTACCCATAATTTAATCATATAAATAATGCAAAAGGCAAGAAATTTATATCTAGTTTTTATAATTAAATAAATTAATTTGTTAGGATATAAAACCGGTTATTAGATTTTATTAAAAGTTATAACCTTTCGGGTAAAAAGTATCCCCGCTAAGATTTGCACTGACTATACTATATATATAATTATAAACGTTAAAAATGATAATCTTAGTGATTAACAAAGGGTCCTGTTTAAAGTTTTAATTCACCCGATAAAAATTATAATTTTAATGTATAAAAATCTGATAAATGGTCTAGTTTAAAAAATTTTTTTTTTATATTAATATATATATATAAATAAAATATTTGAAAAAAAAATTTTTAAATTACAATTTTTGAAATTTTGATGTACAGTATATACTATTAGACAATTTTAAAATAAATTTTTAGGTTCAAAATGTATTAATCGATTGGTTAGTTCAACTGGTATTTGTCGTAACAGTCAAGAGGTTTTAACGCTAAGAAAATAATTTAACAATTCTTTTGAAAGTGGGTTGATATTTATACGTAATAATAATAATAATAAGGAATTAAAAAGAAAGAGTTACATACATACAATAAATACATTTTTCTATCATACATAAATAATATACTAGATGTAAAATTTCATCCCTCACAATAAATAAAGATATTTTTAAAGCGCAATTTTCATACCAACACCGATAGTATTTTCAACAGGAATATCCAAGTTATCATATTGATTTCTAGAATTAACTACCAAAACAGAATATATTCTAACCAAAGATCTTCTCCACCATGAAGAACCAAGTCTAGGATAAAATGATTGTTCGCCTAAAACGTAAGTAATATCATCAAGATTATCAAAGTCTTTCTTTAAAGATTTGTTAGAAGGGTCAATATTTTTAATTGATTCAACTAATTTTAAAATAAAGTCTTTTCCTTGTGAAACTTCTTCTGAATAACCATATCTAGCAGTCGCATGATAACAACATTCATAATTCCCAACTTTTTTCACAACTAAACGATCATTATCACCAACTATTGGAACAGCTATAGGTCGAATTGTGATAAAAACGAGATTTTGAGGTACTATTGGGAAGTGTTTTATAAAATGAGAGAAAGAAAGAGGGACCTTAGAACCAATACCACTATAGAATAGGCCAATACCCGAAGAACGTGTTAAATGATTTTCAGAGCCTGATATACGAAGCTGTACTACGTCAACTTTCTCATCTTGATGTAAAATCTCTTGAGAGATTTGAGAAACTTCATTTATAGTGATACTAGAAGAAATAGCTTCTTCAGGTTTTCCAGAATTTTCAAAAATTTTACCAAGATTGGGTTTATGTATGAGTTCATAACGTATCTTACGAACAGTACCCCATCTCCATATAGTCATAGTAATAGTAAGACATATAGCCACAAGCAAAGTAAGCCAACCACCATTCTCAACTTTCCGTAAAGTTGCACCCAAAAATGAAGCATCAACAATGCCAAAAATAAGAAAAAATATGACTGAAACAAAAATAGGAAGATGCCAAACTTGATGAATTACAATTGCTAAGAGTGTTGTGGTGATAATCATCACAGATGCAACAGCTACACCATAAGCGTTTGTCCTAAAAAAAATTAGATAAATCAATAAATAACAAAATAAAAATGGTAATACATAATAAAAAAAAAAAAAAAAAAAGAATAAAGTACAGGTTTGCAGAGTGTTGAAAGATGATACAAAGGAGCACGATTGCGACCATCAAAAGGTAATTAATCTAATAAAATAAAATGTCAAAAGAAATTTAGTATGTACATATATATATTTAACATAAAAAGAAGTAATATAAATTTATAATTTACCCCTGGTATATAAACTTGACCTCTAATTTTTTTTGATGTATGAATAACCTTTTAACATAAAGTTAAAATTAATACAAAATCAAATAAAAGTAATTTACATATTTTATACCCTGTAATAAAAATTGGTATTACCTTGACTTCAGGAAAGCAATCTAATTGCATAGATTGATAAATTAAAGAAAAAGTAGCAGAAATCATAGCTTGGGAAGCTATAATTGTAGCTAAAATAGCTAAAATAAATACAATCCAATAAACAGCAGGGTGATCAGGAGTAGTTTTCCAAAAAGTATTTCCAATTACATTGGGATCTATAATTAAACGAGCAGCTTGGCCTGAATAAACTAAAACCAAAGGAATATAAACAAAACATGGGAAAGAGATTTGAATGGCTCTGCGATTAAAATGTCCTAGGTCTGCAAACAAAGCTTCTACACTATTTTAGAAAATAATGAGAAAAGAAAGAAGATTTTAAATATATTAAAAATCATTTACAGATTGCATGTAGTATAAACTTCATAAATTATTAAACAAAAATTTTACCCAGTAATAGCTAATAGAACTCCACCAAGATCAGTAAACTTTAAGAATAGAGAATAATAATTAGAATAATAAGCTGATAATAATATTATTATTACAGAATTAATAATATTAATAGAAGAGAAGTATTTTACCCCAGAACCTTGATTTCGTATGAAATAATTAATGGCATGATAGGGATTAAAAGCTTCAAAAATTCTAGGATAATAAGTAATGTTCCAAATGCCAATACAGGCGAGAGCGACAAACCAAAAAGAGACAATCGGAGCGAATAAATTTCCAACCTTAGCTGTACCAAATTGTTGTACTATAAACAATAAAATAATAATAATGCTTTTTTATATTTAAAAGGATGAAATGGATATTTATTTATTTATTTCTTATAATAACAATAATAAATATGTAAGATAATAATTTACGTAAATACCAGCTAAGAGGAACAACAGCTGATTGTAAACTTGGCACAGGGATTTCCATACCCTCAACGGCGGAAATTACGGAAATAGCAGGAGTTAGCAGACCATCACTCATAACTAAGGAAGAGCCGAGAAGGACTACAATGAGTAAAATAGACTGCACAGTCTTACTGCGCTTGATAAAGTTTGGGTGTTCTTTAGAACTAATAATTGACATAGTATCGTAATTCGCAATCGTTAAGTCATCAGAATTCTCATTTCCGCGTACAGAGAGTCCAGAATGACTAAAAAAGGTATGTTAAAATTTACAATCATTTAACTTTAGGTAATAACTTTAAACAAGAAAGTAACTTAAAATAAGATATGCATATATAAACTTACCGACATAATAAAGAATATAAAGCAAAAGTGCCACCTTCACCATTATCATCCGCTCTGAGTACTATGAAAACGTACTTTATCAATGGCACGATTGTCTAAAAAAATAAATTTTGTTAATATACTTAATTTTCAAGAAAAACATTAATTTTTAAATATATGTATTGAAAAAAAATTTTACCAATGACCAGATGATCAAAGATAATGCACCTACAATATATAATTTAAAGCGAATATATAATTTTGAAATGAATTCTTTAAACTTTTAAAACAGAATTTAAAAACTAGATTAAGTACCATAAACGTCTTGAGGGTCCGTAGGTGGATCCGAAAATATTCCAGTGAATACTATAATTTTAAAAGTTAAATTAAGTTTCTAGATAATTGCTAAAAGAGAAAAAGAACCACATACGTACCATATAAGGGAGAAGTACCAATATCACCATATATAATGCCTAAATTTTAAGGAAAATGGTTATGTATCAAACGTACAATTGAAATTATGAAAACCAAATAAAAAATATATAGTTACCTATTGATTTGAAAGCTAAACTTAAAGTAAGTAAGGCCGAGGTTTCCTAAAATTTTGATAAATAATACATTAAACGAATTTTCTCGTTTATTGTAAAGACATTAAATTAAAGACTTGCTTTTTTACTGCGGTGATCTTTCTCAATATCATGATTAAGTTCATTATTTTCATCGATAATTTCAGACATTTTTGTTTTTTGTTTTTTTTTTTTTTTTTTTACTAAAATTTTTTTTTTACGCATTCATTATATATAGCAATAGCGATTGTACTTAATCTTATATTACGTTTTATTAATTAGGTCATATTTAATTTTTCGTTTGTTTTAAATTTTTTTCTTGGCAAATAAAATCTCTGTGCTACAAACAGATGATAAGGTTTAAGGGATTCAGCCCTTTTATTAATAAAGATATAACTGTATTTGTTCATTTGGCTAATCCTGCAATTAGCTCATACCACTGATCTCTCAATTTGGTCGATAGACCGTTTCAGGATTAGTAAAAATTTAATACACTATTTATAATGAATATACTATTATGGTTAACACAGACACTTGTCATCTCAGAAAACGATGGGGAAGATTTACAGTGTTGTTTTAAACAGTTTTTTTACGGGTTCCTTTGATATCATTAATAATAAATATGGCGAATTACATACATAACAGTTTTATTTTTGAAAATTTCCAGGGACTATTTAAATAAGTATAACCGTCAAAACCGATAACTCAAAAATCAATCCACCATGTCTGTTTCTAATATAGTTATTTGACCTCTTAAACTCGATAACCCTTTTAAAAATGATATAAAATTTGTCTATCGGTTTTGACAGGAAAATAATTGTCTGTGACACGAACGAAAATTCCCTTCTTTTATTGCCAATCAATTTGGGTTCATTGATTTTATAATCCAGTATGTACTATTTCTATTTTTGAATAAGTTATGTACTGCACATATCTGCATATGAGCTTATGTATACACCGATACATTACTTTACCTAAATTAGGATTAGATATCATATTATGTATTACTGTATTAACGATCTTTTCCAAAATATTGATCTAGAAACCCAAAATCCCAAATCACATGATAGAACAATTTTTAGAATTTTAGAAGTACTATTCTAATTTTACATTGAATCAACAATTCGGACAATATTATTTGTTCGATTGTGTTAACACGAATGAAAATCTAATGAAAATCTATTAAGATAGCCTGTTATCAATTTAGTTTGATGGTAATTGGTCCACTAAGCATTATATGATTGAATTTATAATAAAAAAAAGTCGTACGTTTTTTAAAATGTTATAGAGCTCCTCTAACATAGCTATAACTTGCAAATAATAGAAAAATAATTAATATTGTAAATTGATCGTATCATATAGTGCTGTACCATGATAGTAAATCAGTTAGTCCACATTAACTATAATTCCATGTTTATCACCCCAATAATCGG